GGTTTTTTTAACACCAGATAAAGTACAAATAATACAAAGCCATAACCAAGCCATTAAGTACCAGGATGTATAAATATTACATACACTGCAACTGTAATTTTTAAGTATAAACATGGTACAACCATGAACTATAGAACATGTCACCCACCACAACTTAACTGGATCCTAAAAAGCCTGATCCTAAAGCCCAAACTGCACACAAATAAATGCTGATCTTAAAAAAAAAAAACAAACATCTATGGCTCAGTTACAATTATCCAATAAAAACACTTAAAAAGTGACACCTTCAAAAAAGGCCAAAAAACCAGTTCCACTCATAATGCAATTTACAAAATTTTAACCAACTTCAACTTGTTCCACAGGGCAGACAGCACTGCAGATAATAAACAAATAATTAGAAATGCATCATGTATTAAAAACACATAAAGGAACAACTCCGATATAAATTTACAGAAATTGGAGAGGCTGCCCACTTCCTGGAATGCTTTCCAAATGTCTCTTGGTACCAATTCCCAGTTTCCCAATTCCCAGCACCGCCATTATATAAGGCAAACACTATAATTCTTTTTCAAGCAATATTTCTTTGTTTTGATGAAAATAAATTAAGCCGAAATGTTTCCAAAGTCATTAAGAAAAATAACCTCACTACACCGAGACCAACCTGCTAAAATGTTTTTCTGCATAATCATTTTTCAAGCAGTCTGTTATAAATAAAACTGAGGATACTTAATTATAGATCAGTAGAAAATTAACATTAATGTCAACACTGAAGGGACAAAGTCAACATATAGTAATTCGCACTGTCCAAAACTATTTTTAAACAAGCAACACCGAGAATTATAAGAAAAATGAGAGAACACTGTCACTGTGCACTTACTTTGTAAGCTTAATAGAGGCACAGATAAGCACGTTGTTAATTTTGTCAGGACATGTGGCCTTTACACAAAGGAAATACCATTTTTAAAATCAGCTGGAAAACAAAAGGGCTGCAAAAACACGAGAGGTAACACAGACTAAAACGTGGCATATTGTGTGGAACTACTTCATCTCTCTTTACATCGACTTCAACATCAATACTCCTAAATGGAAACATGCTTCAGATTTTGTCCACAGGATATGACAAACTGATTAAACTCAATGAATAGGAATTAACAAGCATCTTATACCCAATACATCAGACCAGCTACATCAACCTACATCTGTATAGATGCCAATTACAGCTTATGAAACGATGGTTTGTCACTGCAATAAAGTCAACTTGGGCTAAACACTGGAAGTATCATTAAAAAAAAAAAGAAAACAAAAAGGAAGAAAGAAGGAAAAAGGAAACGCTTCGCAATTCACTTCCAATACAATGGATGTCCTCGCCCTCCCCCCCATCCTCCAAGTAATCTTTAAGCTTCACCTCCTGCCAGAACGTCTTCCTGGGATAAAGAGACATCAAGACAGCAGCAGGGCTTTTGTTTTGGGGGTTTTTTTCCTCCTTCACGTTAATGTTATTGTCAACTACAGAGGCATAACAGTGAGCACTTTCTTGTGCACAAGACTGGCTACATTGGATTTCCAGTATTTCAACCACTTTGAGAGGTGATCTCTCTCTCAATTTCTGCCTCCACTCCCCCTAAACCACACTAGCTGCAAACTATGATTTTCAAGCTCCTTTCCTACAAAATAAACACCAAATTTTTGGCAGCATAAAATTCCATTCCTCTGTCACACACACACACACACACACACACACACTGACAGTGTGTGCACCATTACGGGAAAGTTGGATTTCTCCTGGCTAATCACATATCCAATACATGGAGCAACAATACAATATTCCTGATCTTCAGTCTATACCTTCAATAATTCATAAAATTGTATAGATCTGATGTCTTATATGTTCTTCTGATTTGCTGCACCCAGCAGCAGGACTTAACTTAGTTCACAATGCTACAGCCACACATCCTACAAAGCAAAACTACCAGAAAGGGAAGGTTGCAGCCCAGACCTGGAGCATGAATAAAACCCACAATCGCGTTAAAGCTCTGGACATGAAGCTTCCTCCATCCCTGAAAGATATCCCACTTTTCTCCTTATTAAATTCTGTCAGGGTGTGGCTTCACTAAACCAGAGTTCCACTGCAAAGGCCTCAAGAAATCTCCTCCAAGTGCCTTGAGCCAACACACACGCCTCAGCAAACCCCACCAAAAACAAGGAGTTCCTCCTCGAGGCACCACATTTAAGCCCACAAGACTCCTCCAGCTGCACAAGTATCCAGGCAGGTAATAGAGCTGTTCCCCAAACACTTACAACATAACCCAGGACCTCCCTCCCGTCTCCCCAGACGGGTACCCTGCCCACGTCACCTTAAGCACAGGTAACCAGGGAACACTCCAGGCCTCACAGAGGAGTCACTGCTCCAGCCTGGCAGCCTTTTGAAAAGGTTCAGGTGCTGCTCTCACAGCGAGGGTAAATTTCTGCCTTGCGAAGGATTCCTCTGGAAACGTGACTCAATGGTTTTCCTTACCTGCTACACTTGCACATAAATCTTACACTGTGATGTGCTGTAGATTCTTAAATCAGTCAGTCAGGGTTTCATAATTATGGAGTCCAGGGTCTTTGTTAGCTGTTGTTGCTCCATGCACAAAAGGGAAGATTTTGTTGCTATCACTGTAAAACCTATTAATTAACTGCATGTATATACGGCCACACTTTCTACAATAAAAATAACTGCTACACAGAATTGAAGTGGTCTGCTAGATTAATTACCCCAAACCTCCTTGTACGGCATAAATTGCATGAAGCCTCACACACAGAGAAAAGGAACCAAGCAGAAAAACACCTTAAAAATAGCAACTTCTTACTTATGGATAACGGAAGCAGAAACAAATGCAAAGTCCCTGGAAGTAAAAAGAATAAACAAAACTGAAACTGATCCAAGCCACGAAATCCCTGTCGAACATCTCTGCACCGAACAGTAACGGTTTAATCCTCCTACTTCCTCAACAATCCACCTTTCTCAGAGACAAGTTTTACAAAGAACAAGCTTCGTGAGTTCCTGTGCAATTCACAAATGCCTAAAACGCCATCTGAAAACTGAGGTGAAACAGTAAAATATTTACTTGCTAGTTGGTTTGTTTTTTTTCAGTATTTGCTATGTGGATTTATACATTAATACAGCACAAAACATACAGTGTTATTTCTAGAAATATGTTTCAAAACTATCAAAATGCCCCACAACTTAAACGGACTGTACATACTAAACTAAAATTGCCCAGCTTAAAAAAAAAAAAAGCATTAATGCACCGAATGTAAGAAAGGACTCAGAACTCAACTAATATGCTGAATCGCTGCCTGCATTACTTGATTTTACAGTACACAAAATAAAACTTAACCCAGGGACGCTATGTGACGGATGATCTAATTACATATGATGCTTTTATTTGCTATCTGGCATCCTTAAGCTCTATCCCATACGGAATTCTGTCTAATATTTCCGACAGCCTCAGCAGCATTCACGGAGCAGACACGAATTCTGGTCCACCAACAGTTAACGTACATTATTTAACTGGTCTGACATGTCACTCCCCTACCTTTTTGATTTATGGGAAAGAGTGCTCTTATAAATAACTCCGAAAATCGAAAGGAAACCGCGAGATTTTTTTAAAATACAAGCACAAAGAAAAAGTGTACTTGCTTTTCCTTCCATCCCTCCCCCCTCCCCCTCCACGTCCTGACATTGAGCTTTTCCAATCCTGTCAGAAATAAACACCCAAACACAAGGAAGGGCTTAGGGTAACCAATTCAACACGGGTCAGAGCGAGATCTTCAGATCAACCAAAACCAGCAATACGAAAAAAAAAAAAAGAAGAAATAATCCTCCACGACACAGCCCGGGCACAACAATGGGATGAGCTGTGTCAAACGCCAGGCTACTGACAGGAACAAGCCAGGAAAGCAGGAACCAGAGAAGCACCGTCCCCTTCGCTTCAGCCGTGTGGCATTTTAAAAAACAGCCCCACTTATCCTGTTACCCAAAGGTTTCCCCGGCGTTCGGTGTTTTGAGCACAGCTGGCAGACACTCGGCCCGCACAGCCTTTGTCAGCAGCTCACGGATGGGCAGCAGAACGTGCTACAGGTTGATAAGGAGGGCACCGGCGCCGCGGAGCAGCAGGAAAAGCGCCCAGAAAGAACTTGGGATGCGCAGGAGAGTTTCCCCCGGCCCTCCCCGGGGGCTCCGCGCTCCCCCCACACTCGGTCCCCCGGTGTTTGCTTCGTGTTTACCTCCCCCCCCTTCCCTTTCTCCTCCCTGTCCGGCCATCTTGGGGCCGACAGGAGCAGCCATTACTTAACTAAATGACAGGGCCAACAACTTTCCGCGGAGGTAAACACCTCTCGCAGGACACACCGGGCCGGGCGGGACGCCCCGCTCGCTGTCAGGCCGGGCCGGCGGGCGGCACACGGGGCTCGGCCGGGGCCAGGCGGAGGCAGCAGGGCCCGGCGAGTAAACAAGTCACTCCGGCGGGCTCCGGGGACCGCTCAGCGCCGCGCCCGCCCCGGCCCGGACCCCGCGCTCCCCTGCGGGCTCCGGCCCCGGCCCCGCTCCCGGAGCGAAAATCACGAGGGAGGGTCCGGGCAGCGGCAACGTCAGCAGCGCCGAGCGCGCCCTGCCTCCCTCCTCTCGCCCCGCTGCCGCCTCCTCCTCCTCGTCCTCCGCCTCTCCCCCCCCCGCCCCCGCGCCCCCCTCCCCTGGCCCGTCCGCTCCGGGCCCCGGGGCTCCACCACTTTCCCCGTCCCGGGGCTGGACGGGGAACACCCGCATGGCCGCGCTCCCCCTTCGTCCTGCTCCGGGGGGGGGGGGGGGGGG